CCCAGATTAAAGTTAGGTGCAGAATGAGTGGATTTGTCAGCCCTTGTGGTTAGGGTGTGAGTGTGTTTTGGATTACCCTTAGGAATGTTAGAAATTGGATTTTGTCTATGTTCTGGGTTATGAACCTAAATTGTTTCTGCCTTGGACCTCTTGTCCAAGGTCTCCTACAAAAGCCTTGGAATCCTGCGCAGTTCACTACAGCAGGAGTAACTAAATGCATACGTCTAACTCCTTGTTAAAACAATGCTTCTGTTAGATAAAGCGCACCTGAGAAACAAGACACACTATATAAATATCAAATCAGGGCTATTAACTTCTACAGGTGCTCTTTGGCCCTTGCACTAGGCAGACTTTGTCTGAAAATCACTTCTAAATTTGCCCCTCCTGAATTCCTCTTCTGTGTAGTCATAGACGTGCCGATGACAAGGCGACGGTAATTGAAACCTGCACTTCATAACGATGCTTTTCTGCAAACATACCCAAATATTTTCAGATGGAGCAGAAAAAAGCTTTTGCAGCCTGCTTTGGAATCGATGTTCCACAGTGGCCTTTGTTCTTTCTTTCATAGGCATTTGCTTGTTCTCTTTGCTTCGATCTTACGGTCATCTGTGGGCAGGTCCAGTTCTCTGTAGGACTTTCAGATGCCTTGGGCAGGCGTGTTACCAGAGAGCTTGAGCTCACTTGGGGCAAGAGAGGAAGTGCTGCTGTTTCAACAGGCTTCTTGTGTAAACGTTGCTGTTCATATAACCCAAACGCCGGGTTACGTAAATGTGGATAGAGCTCTGAAGTTTGTATGAACAAACAGTCTGCCTGCAAGAAGGCACAATGAATGTAAAATGCAGTGCAGAATGGGGAATAAAATGGGTGAATAAAATCTTGCATATCTTAAGGAGGTGGAGTGATGCTTAGCAAGATAGCTGAAGCATGAGGTCCCCTGTAAATTTTCCAGCTGTGCCATCGATTTACTGGGTCGAATCATACCAGGCTGGTTTTTCAGCGGCTCATGACGATTGCTGCCTGTGGTCCAGTGCTGCAGGTGAACTTGTGAGCTCCCAGTGCTGCTGCTTTTCACCTCCCCGCAGATCGGCCTAACGAGATGGACCGCTCACTCTCTTTCTCTCTCACCCAAACTTTGCGTTGTTTGTATCGCTGCGCTGTTGCTACAGCTGTATTAGTACCGGTAACGATATTTGGGCACCTCCTTCCAAATTGATGTCACTGGGACTCAAATACGTAAGAATATCCATGCCTCAGTTACCCATTCATAAAATGGGGGGTGAGGGGCAGAAGCACTTCCCAGGGAATCTGTAACAACAGAAACTGAAAAACAACAGAGCTGAAAAACAGGCACTTTCAAGTATTTGGTTTAATGCCTCTTTCTTAGCAAAGTACCTTTTCTTAAAAAGCCATTCAAAAAGGAGAACAGAGACACGCGATCAGGATGTGCGTCCTGCCAGTTATAGACTATTTTAATCTGATGTCCTTAGAGCTTCTGGTATTACTTCATTGCGTTTAGCCTTCACTTTTTGGAGGAAGGGTATAGGCTGTGGACTAAAAGGTAAGAAACTACCGATGAAATGACCCAACGGTTGTGCCAGGTAGAACCGTAAGGATGAAAACAGTTCATGCCAGTAGCTTTAAGCTGCAGAAATGTATACTGCAATGCTGTCATTTTATTCTGTAATTTGTAATCGGCACATTTCTGTTCCCAGACTTGACGGTGAAGGTCATTCAAATTCTTTGTCAACTACTTACAAGCCTGTTTCCCTGCCTCTGTCCTCTCCAAATGTAAAGCTGAACCTGACTAGCCCGAAAAGAGGCCAGAAAAGAGAAGAAGGGTGGAAAGAAGTGGTTAGAAGGTAAAGACTTCAATTTTCTGTTTGAAAACTGTCTGTGAGCTTTTCAGCTTGTGAATTATTCTCAAATATAGAATGCCCAGCAAGCTTATTTAATTATTTAAATGTATAATAAATTTATAAAATATTTACCCCCCTTACTCCTGCAGTGCTGTGAAAACAAATTGCAGTCCTAATTTGCAGCAACTCCTCACTAACTTAACATCAATATGACATAAATGTTTTATTTGGCACGAGGGTTTTCTTTACCTGTGCCTTCAGTCGCGTAGAGGATGTGGGGATAAGACAAAAGGGGGGAGGGAGCGGGTGGCAGTGGAAGGCCCCCGCAGCAGATGATTGCTTGCCCGTCTGAAGGCAGGGTGGGTGTTAGTGGAGAGGAGAGGGGAGAGATGGACAACTTCTTCAAGGCTAAATGCACTGTGCTCTGGGCAGTCACCTTGATTGCTGATCCCATGGAGAGTGTTGTCACTTCAAAGCGAATGCTAGAGCTGCAATTAGATTTACAGTTTTTCTGTAAAGCAAACTTTCCCTGTAAAAATGTGCTGGCTTTTCTTATATGGCCAATAACACCTCAGTATCTTTTCCGTAACCTTTATGATGTCTACTGCTTGTATCTAGAAATGATCATCTGGCTTGCCTTTTTTTTTTTTTGTTCCCTTTATCAAAAAGGAATGTGGCATGAACACCCAAGTGTCAGATGCTTTGGGTGCACTTACGATGCCCTCCTGCTTTTGTGTTCTGCAATGGTAGTGACCGAATACACTCATTTTAGAGAATTTTAGGGTATGTGCAAAGAATGTAATTGTATGGAGGATTTAATGCATTCAGATTAGCGGAAGCCACGGCCTATTCTTAATGAAGGTTCAAAAGGCAGTTTAATCTGAAAATGTAAGTGTTTGAACACTTAGAGAGTTGGTTCGGTCTCTGCCTTTTGTTGTGTTTGCAATGGGGTTCTCCACTGTGCCATGGCCTTGCTAAATGTGTGCTTGCAGACCGCCCCCCGCTTGGCGAGTCATGCGGGCATGGAACGGCTTCAGGGCTGCACGTAGACCCCACCGCTGACCCTGGAGCTGCTCCCTCTCTCCTCCTGGGTCTCGAGTCTCATGGGCTGAACTGCTTGGTTGGGTATTGTCTGCTCTTCTGCTGCAGAGGGTGGGGTTCTAGAGATGGCATCCAAAATCCGACCTTCCCTCATCCATGAGGAATCAGGCCTTGTGTCATAAAGAACGCGTCCGTAAAGTGTTCTGCACTGGTGTTTGCTATGCCCTGACTGGTCGAAGCACGCGACCTGCCAAAGAGCTTTTTGGCAACTTCAGATGCGCGTGCAAAATGCCGGGGAGCTGCATGCCGCCTTTTCCTAAAGCCTCTTCTGGTCTCGGCAAGAATTCTCTCCTCTCTCTGTGAGTAATCCCCTGGCTAGAAGGGATGTCTGTCAAAGTAGTAACCAAAAAAAAAAATCCCTTCTGCCCTTGACAGGCAAGTAGGCAGAGTTTTGAAAGACCCTCCCCCTAGCAACACTCTGCAGCCAACACCGATTGAGCAATTTCAGCTGCAGAGAGGAGGGCGCTGCTGTTCAGGAGCAAAAAGGTACTGTTTGGGGCACATCTCAAGGTAAAAAGCATCGAGCTTGGTGGGTAGGGAGGGAAACGGCGGTGGGTGATGGGTGGGTGGGGGCCTGGGCCCTGGGGTGAACTCTCCGGGAGCGGGGATGTCTCCATGGGTGGTGGTGTGGGGTTCCTGGTGGGCTGAGGTGGAAGCAGACCAAGGTACAGTTAGGAGCCATAGGAGTAATGTTGAACGTTAGGTGCCGATGGGACCTCTGGTTTGGGGATGTCTAGCTTGAGAGAGGAGCAGGGGGGAAAGCCCAAAGCATGAAACAGCTTTGGGAGGAGAGCTGGGTGCATGCTCTGAGGACCTGGTTTCGGGGGGATGGGGAGGGCTGTAGCATGCTCTCCTGGCAGGAGAGGGGGAAAGGAAAACACCTTGGCCAGGTGAGGTGATGCTTTAGAACGTTTCTGTGTATTTAGATGTGTTTAAATTAAAATGGGTTTCCTTTAAGTCCTGTTAAGTGAGAAACAATTTCCTGAGGATTGAGTTACTTAAAAGCTTCCAAGGCTGGAATAGCCAGGTGAAGCTGGCAGCCTTTTCAGGGGGTGGTGGCGATCTGACAGTCTTCAGTCTCGCCTGCACTGTGATCGCAGCAGTTTCTGAAACCCCTTTGAATCCCCTCTAATTGTTCTATTGCACATCGCTGGCAAGCTTCAAAGTGGTGAATGGGCTTGAGAGGTCTGGCCTTTAAAGTCTGGGGACAGTGGTGGCCTAGAGAGACCGTGGCTGGGGTCTGGAGGCAAGCATGGCTCGTGTTCAAGGACTTCCCAGTACTGTGTGCCTGCACTGACCCACCAGTACCATGTGAATTAGAAAAATTCTAAATTTACTTATATCACTGAACACACGGACTACAATGTTGTGGCCTGACAGCGAGCCTGCTTCTGAGAATTTGTGCTGCCTTCGCAGTGGCTCCCAGCAGCTCCTTAAAGCACAGAACCACACAATTCAACCGTCTGCCATCCGCGGTTGCGTAGTGTCACCAGTAGACTTTCAGATCTTGAGGTCTGAAACGTGGATACTAAAAGGGTTGTGAATGCGAGTTGTATTAGAGCTGATCACTGGGAAGACATTGGAAAACCACCTTCTCCTTGCTATAAACCCATGCTATGAATGATCAAAGCAGCTAAGCCATGGGCTTTTATATTTGAAGTGTCACTGCTTATGTAAATTCAGGTTGATGAGTGAAGGATTTGCCTCAGTTTGAAGTTAAGATAAAATCCAGAAGTGTTTCTGAAGCAGTGTGAGGCACATAGCTCTGTGTTATGACAGTGATGGAATAAGTACTGCTGGGGAGTCCTTACCAGGTACGGAGGATGATGAGTAATTTGAGTGGGGGAGTTTTAGAGAGGCTCCAAAGGGTAAAGAAAAAGCAGCAGAAAGCCACTTGCTGCCCTGAAACTTTAAGAATATTGCGTCAGCCACCTGTCAGATAGCAAGGGATTTTTGTGTGCCTTTGAAGTTTGAATGCATTTCACAGACTGTGATCCTTGTGATACAGGTCAAAGAAATTATCTGTCCCAGCTTCTGTCGTATCTAGAATAATGGGAAGAGGTGGGTGCAACATCACAGCAATTCAAGATGTCACTGGTGCCCATATTGACGTTGATAAGCAAAAAGATAAGAATGGAGAGAGAATGATCACTATAAGGTACAGTATCTAGAAATTAAAGTCTTGACTCAGTCCACAATGTCGTTTATTAAGTTTGTTTGCTTTTTAAGATGGGGGCCGTATTTAGCTTCTTGGTACTAGAATAGAACATATGTTACTGCTGCCAAGATATGCTGAAAGAGATAATCCTTCAGAGATAATCCTTAAGATATGCAAAAGTCAAGAAATAACTTACTGGAGTAAACGTGCAACAGGCTTGCAGATCAGTATGAAATTGAGGCTGCGGGATGTTGCACAAAGTGGGGTTTCCTTCTGCCAAAAGATAAATATGTTTGTGTTTAATCTAGGGGTGGTACAGAGTCCACGCGATACGCAGTGCAGCTCATCAATGCCCTTATTCAGGATCCTGCCAAGGAACTGGAAGACTTGATTCCTAAAACTCACATCAGAACACCCGCGTCGAGTACCAAATCAATCCATGCAAACTTTTCATCTGGAGTCAGCACTGCAACTGCTTCAAACAAGAACTCCTTTCCTCTCGGAGCACCGCCCTTAGTCACATCGCAGTCATCAACACTATCTACTTTCCAGCCTACTAACAAATTAAACAAGAATGTCCCAGCGAATGTGCGCTCATCCTTTCCGGTGTCTCTTCCTCTAGCTTATTCTCACCCTCATTTTGCCTTGCTGGCCGCCCAAACTATGCAACAGATCCGGCACCCTCGCTTACCTATGGCCCAATTTGGAGGAACTTTTTCACCTTCACCGAACACTTGGGGACCATTCCCAGTGAGACCAGTTAACCCTGGCAGCACAAACAGCTCTCCAAAGCATAATAGTTCGAGTCGTGTAGGTAGTCAGAATGGAAATATCTTGCCGACGGAGTCTCCTGGATTAGCTACTTCTAGTTGTCCCATTACGGTCTCTTCTGTAGCTGCTTCCACCCAACCGCTGTGTGTAACCAGTAATCGGACTCCCTCTTCGGTCAGAAAGCAGTTGTTTGCCTGCGTTCCCAAGACGAGTGCTGCAGCAACAGCAATCTCAACCGTGACGAGCACCTGTAGCACTCTGCCTTCAGCTTCCTCTGCCCCCCCAAACAACGGGCAAGTGCCCACAGCGTTTCTGCCATCTAATGCTCCTCAAACGCAGCATTCTGCACTTAAAGCAGACTCTTTCTCGGCTGTCTCAGCACCCAAAGAGAAGGTGTCAACACCAGACCAGCCTGCTGCAAATGTCTGCACGCCATCTTCGGTTGCAAGTAGCTGCAGCCTGACAGCTAGCAGCAACTCAGGAGTCACCGACACTCGCCCGTCAAGCAGCCCTGCACCGCTAAATAATGCCCAAGATGAAATACTGCCAACCAGCATGTCAGAGATCAATCCTTCCATGTCGATGCCTTTTTCATCCAGCTCAGAAACTGCTCCTTTAAGCTTAGCGTCGCCCAGGTCAGTTGTTGCAGATAATCAGGACAACAGTAACTTACCTCAAGTAGCTGTACCAGCACCTCGAGTTACTCACAGGATGCAGTCCAGAGGTTCTTTCTATTCAGTGGTACCAAATGCAAACCTCCATCAAGATCCTCAGTCTATTTTTGTTACGAATCAAGTTCCTTTAACACCTTCTCAAGGTCCACCCGCTGCAGTGCAGCTTTCGTCAGCCATGAACGTTATGAACGGTTCTCAGATGCACATTAACCCAGCAAACAAATCATTGCCTCCTACCTTTGGGCCAGCAACACTCTTCAATCATTTTAGTAGTCTTTTTGATAGCAACCAGGTGCCAGCTAACCAAGGATGGGGAGACTGCCCACTCTCTACCCGAGCAGCAGCTGACCCATCTTTCACTGTTCAGTCTACCTTTCTGAATAACTCTGTGCTAGGACACGTGGAAAACGTGCATCCTGACAACTCCAAGGCTCCTGGCTTCAGACCACCTTCCCAACGGGTTTCGACTAGTCCTGTAGGTAAGTCATTAAGATCATGCACTGGACAGAATTCTTTCTCCAGCCATTACACTTTGATCGTCTCTAACTGATGGAGAAGTAGCTTACAATGACAGTTAGAGAATAGTAATGTAAAGAGGATGGCCTGTTTTTTGCAAGTGCTCTTTCAAATGTTGATGATGATTTTTTCCCCCCCCTCCCCCTCTTTTCTTCAGCTCTTCTAGGATGTTAGGTGTTGGGAACGTTGCAGACGTTGCATTGCTTCTCCTCTGCAAGACGCCGGAATGCTTCCACCTGTTTGTAGAGTTCAGAGTAGCATTGATTTTAGGTTTTGGGTTGGAATGGAACATAAGGTTGGGTGATACCAAACCTGAAACAGCAGGGCCGGGGCTCTTGCAGAGTTCCAGCTGCAGGAGTGACTGCATGCAGTTGTTCAATGTTTTATCTGGAACTCCAGCCTGACTCAGTGAGGGTAAACTCTGTACTTTTTGTCTCTTGGTATGGCTCTGGGATTTTAATAAGCTTACGTTGTGCTTTGGGAAACCGGTGTGCTGCTGCATGGGGTGTTTTATTAGGAAGTGACTGTCCTGCTGTTAGGTGTAGCATTCAAGCTTATCTGCATTTATTTGGAAGGGGTTACGAATGCTCACAGTGTGCTCCCTGCCTTGCTGTGCTCTGCCTAAAGGCTCGTTACCGGCTTAGCGTTCAAACTACGTTGCAGGCAACTGGCTGCAGCCATTTGGCTGGAAGGGACCCTCAAGAGGTCTACTCTGTGCCAGCCTGTTCTCCCCTTCGCTCTTGCCCCAGTGGCACTATGGTGCCTTGAGGCTGGGTAGCTAGAGAGCCTTGCTTTGGACTTGTCTTTACCCCAGCAGTGTTTGTGGGATAGTCGGGCTAACGTCTTGGGACTTAAATGCTGGGTTGGGACAAGTCAAGCAGTTTGACTTTCAGACTGATGGAGAAGGGGGCATTTGGAAGACGTGGTGGTGAGAAAAGAAGATTTTCAGCATTCCCATTCCTCTTGCTTGATTTACAAATGTGTGGGACTTCTGAAAACCAGAACGCTTCTCTGAGAAGCTTTAGCCACAAAACTGGGAAGCCTGCTATGGCTGTAGTTTTGTTAATAGTTTAATTTGGGCTGCATAGCTCTGCAGGGCGAGTAAATACCTGGAGCTCTTGTGCCACATCCAGTCCCAGGATGGTGAGCAGAATCAGATGCAGCTGAGGCTGTGGAAGGTAAAGTAACTGTGCCTCGTTCGTCAGATAGGTTGCTAATAAAAGAGTTGCCAGACCCTCTGCAGCAGAGGC